GGGGTGTGGCCGCTGCGTATGTTACAGCTACTAGGAGCCACAGGTGAGAGCTGAGTGTCAGGTGGGGACCAAAGGTGTACGAGCTGCCCTAAAAAGGGCACGACATGCCCTCCACCAGAGGTGCTACCCCTCCCTGAACACCCCATACAGAAGAGAGGAGAAGAGGGAGGAGACAAGAAGGAAATTGTTCTGTGCTCTACTCCTGCAAATAGATCCCTCTTTCATGAAGTTTCTAGGGTTGTCATGGTTCCAGAAGGGTGCCATGGCTGTCTTTAGATATATTTAAATATGCAAATCTTTTCCATGTTTACATGCAAATGTTTTGTAGTGTCCTGTTTTTAGATGCCTTTCATCCAAATGATGAAAGCAATGTCCCTCCCTCACGAGGCAAGCTCCATCCCTTTCACATGTGCTGTCACAACACTCTTTTCGTCACTTGACTACCTCTTCAGTCAGCCATATAGCACAATTAGTTATTTTAATTCCATTTTCACGTTTTATCTTTCATATTGCTATTGTAGCTTGATTCCCTTTATGAATGGTTCAGCAAGACTTAGCTGCAGCAGTGCTAAAGATTTGCCTGATGAATAATCCATTATAACCATTTTATACAATTAGTGCTCCAAATCTTTTGATATTATCACCTTGTTATATTTGAGTACCTAATAACTATAGGCCTTCACAGTTTAAGGACTGTTATTACATTATAGCTCAGGCCATGCTCTTGTTTACATGCAACCATTAGATAGGCTGCCAAATTATGATTTCAATACAGATTTTATTTGTTACTTATTATTATTTTATTCTAGGACTTTTAACTAGATACTCTTCTGAGCATTTTTAATTGTATTGGTCTTTGACTGTAATAAATTTGAGTGAAACTAAATGTAGCTTTAGAGGACAGAAAGAGAAGGAAAAAAATAAAGAAATTGCACAGATAAGAAATATAAAAGGTCATCTAGAACTAAAAAAAAAAACCCATGATCATACTATTTCCTAAAATTATCACTGATCATTTTGCCTAATAGAATCTGGGAAATTTTTCCAATTGTGTAGGTGCTCTGTCGCTGGTGGTTTTCAAGAAAAGATTGGACAACCATTTGTCCAAGGTGGTATGAGGACTTCTGCCCTGGGAAGGGGGTTGGACTGGAACACTTCCAAGTTCCTTTCCAACCCTACAATTCTATGTACACCTGTTATGAGGTATTTCTGGTAGGAAACAGATCATTTTTGATTCAGTGCATTTCTCCGACCCTCCCACTTCAGGATTTATCCAGAGGAAAAGAAAACTTTGCATAAATAATTCCTAACTGCAGCCCATGCGAGCTAATACTTATATTGACTTCTAGAGGGCAAAGTGAATGGATGTAAATCTTAAGTTTCTCTTCTGACTCTGAGCCAAAGTAATCTAGTTTCTTGACAGTGCCCATTATGAATTCAGGCAATTTGTCTCCTCTTTTTGCTCAGTTGATTATGGCAAGCAACTTTTTGTAAGGACTGTAAATTACTATTACTATGATACAGTATTTCCCAATCTTGGTAAGTTATGTGGATTTCAATTCTCCAGCAAGCATGGTTGATTAGGGAATTCTAAGTTGAAGTCCACATATCTTAAAGTTGCTAAAGTTTGGAAACACTACTATAACATAACACAATACAACCAATACTGAATTACAGAATAGCATACAGCAGAGCATTATTTTTGTATCATGGATGGCAAAACTATAAACAACTGTTCCTTTTTTTCCTACTTCTTAACGTATATGTGCTTTTTGACTCAAATTAACTTTCCCGATAGTTAGCTGTTTTTTCAGCTTTGTGCCTGCCCCCTTTTAATGAAATTGAGATGGCACAGATTCATGCATGGCAGCCAGGCTCCTTCATCTCTCTGCATATGCCTTTGTGCTACATCTCAGCCTTCTCTCCCACAGAGCCTGCAAGACAGCCCAGCACCAAACGGAGAAAAAGGAAAAATTCCACCAGCAGTACCTCCAACAGCAGTGTCGGGAATAACATCAACAGCACCAACAGCAAGAAGAAAGCCTCAGCAGTGAACCTGAGCCTTGCCAGTCAGGTACCTGTAAGTCTCCTTTTCATTTTAGGCCTCACCTAAGACCATCTGTAGGCCAGGATCCCTAAAAGAGCAAAAACTGCTGTAAATCATTAAGCAACTCCTTCCCACATGGAGTTCTCAAGTGACTCAGGCAACCTATTCAAGTACCAAGCAGGGTTTCAAAAGTTGCCTTATTGGTATTGGCCAGTGGGGAAGGGCTGGGCTCAATGGGGCTTTTACCTGCCCTCCATAGAGCTTTACAATGCTCCCATGCCTTGCTGCACACCTGTGGAAAATGGATCCAATTTGTAAAAAAAGGATGGGCAATGCAGGCAAGCACTCTTGGCTAGCGGTGCAATCATAAATATCTGGTGGGAACCACACTGACCTCCTGGTGCTACCATGCAAACAATGCATATGACATAATTGATATGATGACATCATTGCATTGTCCCTCCATGGCTCTGTTCCCCCGCAGGTGATCCCACTCAATCAGGATTCAGATTCTGCTCCTATACATTATTTTGGAAAGATGAATAGACAATGCTATAATGAATACCATTTTTCTTACTCCATAACTTAAATGTGCTTTTATAGATCATCCTTATTGTTTAGTAGTTTGTATGACCATATTCTTCAAGAAGCAAGAGAAACTGTCTGCCCTACCAGTTCAAGAAAAACTGGATTTTCTATGAACATTTTATAGCCACCTGGTTTCATGAGATTCCACCAGCATTTGGCTCTAAGTGTGAGAGAGTGTCTTCATTGTCTTGAATGAGCCAGCAGTGTGCAGCAGCAGCCAAAAAAGCTAATATAATCCTGGGTTGTATAAACAGAAGCATAGAATCAAGATCACGTGAAGTATTAGTACCGCTTTATAAAATCCTAGTAAGACCACACCTGGAATACTGCAACCAGTTCTGGTCACCATACTACAAAAAAGATGTTGAGACCTTGGAAAAAAATCAGAGAAGAGCAACTAAGATGATCAAAGGCCTGGAGACTAAAACATACGAAGAACGGCTGCAGGACTTGGGTTTGGCTAGTCTAAAGAAAAGAAGAAATAGGGGATACATGATAGCAGTATTCCAGTATTTGAGGGGCTGCCAGAAAGAAGAGGGGGTTATGTTATTCACCAAAGCACCAGAGGGCAGGACAAGAAACAATGGTTGGAAACTGAACAAAGAGAGAAGCAACCTGGAATTAAGGAGAAACTTCCTGACAGTAAGGACAATTAACCAGTGGAACAGCTTGCCTCCAGAAATCGTGGGCACTCCATCACTGGAGATTTTTAAGAAGAGGTTAGACAGTCACTTCTCTGAGATGGTATATGTTCTCCTCCTTGAGTGGGAGGCTGGACTAGAAAACCTCCAAGGTCCCTTCCAGCTCTATTCTATTCTATTCTATTCTATTCTACTCTACTCTACTCTACTCTACTCTACTCTACTCTACTCTACTCTACTCTACTCTACTCTACTCTACTCTACTCTACTCTACTCTACTCTATTCTATCCAGAGGTTCTGAAATAAAACTTCAGAATGGTTCCTTTAGATCCTAAATTGCTAGAACCTACCAATGGACTCTACAATCATGGATATTGACCTTGACAAGATCCTCCTACTGTTTTTCTACTCAAGGAAGTAGCAACAGTTCTGCCAATATGCTTCATTTGGACTTCTTACTGAATTGACATACCCAGGATTGCAGTGGTGGGTTATCCTACATAACGTGCAGACTGTATTTAATTAATGGGTGGACCTGAAGATGCTGATCTTCACCTTTTGCTTTGTTTAATGTTGAAATGTAGCTAAATGTGACCTGATTAGCCCAAAACTATGTGTGTACCTGTGCAAAACAGAACCCAAAGATTGAATTCTTTGATTCTACTTATCATTTCATAAGCAGGAGCTAGGAGCACTCCTGATCTGCAGCCTCAACTCTGGAAGGGAATGGAGTGTTTCATTTGACAACAGTGACTCTAAGGCCAATTTAAGGAGAAACATTGAGGGATTTTAAATGGAGTCACTTCCAGTCCTCCTCATAGGTTGGTGGCCATTATACAGAACTAGCTAGTGAAGATAAGGTGTACTTGAATTGGAAGGTGTCTTTAAGGTTCTACTCTTGGAAAGGTAAATGCAACCCAAAGTCTTTTATGCTTAAGTTTCCTTCAGCTTAGTTGCCAGGATCTTTTACTCTATTCTCCCCTCTCCCCCTGCCCTGCCTGTTTACTTCTTCCTTGCAGCATTAGAGAGAGCCTTGTATTATAAGATATGAGATCCATCAAGCATTTCTTTGTTGAAATATTTCTACATTATAACAAACATTGAGCCTGTTTTATAAAACTTGGTCAGGACATAATGGAGAATGATGGTTGGCTATAGATGTGGTCTGTCAGGGTTAGCAGACCAAGGAGTTGGCTCTGGTGAATTGTAGATGATGTAATACAATGTTATCAACTTGGCAACTGTAAGATGTGTGGACTTCAACTCCCAGAATTCCCTAGCCAGCATGGCTGGCTAGGGAATTCTAGGAGTTGAAGTCCACACACCTTAAAGTTGTCAAGGTTGAGAAGCCATGGTATAGTAATAAGAGAGGGTGGGTAGTGCATCAGAAGAGGAGAAATTCCCACCCAACATTTTTTTTCTTACAAGAGTATTAAATCACAATTTATAATGTTATAGATTAAATGGCACTATGCCATACATGACAACATGCAAATGCAGTGCTTTTCAAGCTGTGGTAAGTCCCATTAGGTTTGCCACACTCAGATACTAACTCCAGACTTGATATAAGCCACAGGTTCCAACCACAGGCATCCCGAGAATCAGCCACCAAATGGTGGCATCAGAGTGGCTGAACTGGGTACAGTTGCAGGAGGCTTCCTATAAGTAAATCATTCTCAATTCTGTACCAAATCTCCAAAAAGCAACTTGGAATCACCCAGGTTTAGGTCAGTTTCAGACAATGTTGGGGCAAGGCAGAGATAAGGGGAGAGTATCAAAATGCTATAAAACAGTGAAAACTTTGATGGTTCTAATGGTTTTTGAAGGGTGAAATGATAAGGGTAGAATCAGTTTGCCACCTGCCACGTCCTGCTCCCTCTCCCATTCTTACAACCTCAGGTCAAAAGATTTGGCCCCAACTATTCTGATGACGTGATCTTGGCACTAGGGATCTCTTAAAATCCCCTGGAAGGGCATTGAACTAAAATTCAGCAGATTACTGATTTATCATTTCTTGTTAAAATAAATTTTGGTGTACTAGAAATAAACCTTGGGATTTTATTTGGATTTCTCCAGAAATACCACCCTCCAAAATTTCCTGCACTATTGTGAGATTGGTAAAATATTAGGAGCAATTGGAATCTTACTGCAAAATCTCCCCAAATCTTACAATTGGAGTGCTAAGTTTTCATAAGGTTTGGTGATCTTTCAAGAATTTTGTTTTTTATTATTTTTCATTTAAATTGTGGTGATAACACCTGGCTTTTCAAAACCACGTTCTTATGCCTGCTGGCCTAAGTAGAAATAATTCCCAGATAGAAATATTTTTGGAAAGCCAATAGAAGAAGACTTACTTGTAGGTTTCTGAGAAGCAATAAGAGTGTCATGGTTCCGACTGATGAACCCAACCAAGCAAACATCTTCAAGACATTCCAATCTCTTAATGTAAACTTTACTGAGTGCACCAGTTTGGCACATTATGAAAGCAAAGACAGCTCTGGCCAGACCCCACCCACATCCCCATAGTCAAAGCATAGAATTCTTCCTTCTCCCTCTTGGTCAGGTCACATTGCCCAATCAAACTGGAAAATATTGTTATGATAAAGCATCTTCAAGTCTACCCAGACACTTGGTAGAATGTCCTTGAATCTCAGGTCTGGCTTTTGATCTTCGCAGCTCACATTCCCTTCCCTTCCCTTCCCCCAGGTTTGTTGGCAAGTTGAGAAACAATATTTTTACACCAGCAAACTGTACTTTGTTTTTTTTATTGAAAATTTTTAAAATTTTTACAATATAACTCCCCACCTCCCTCATACCCCACCCTTCCCCACCCCCCTCCCTTCCCCCCGACTTCCCAGAGCTACACACAGGGTTTACAATACAATAATTATATTCTGTCTTAAATTATATTATCCTTAAGTTAACAATTCTATAACATCCTTTAGCTCTCTTC